TCTCTCTCAAACTCTTTCTCTCTTTCTCTCTAGTTATCTCTCTCTCTCTCTCTCTCTCTCACTCACTCACTCTTTCCTCCCACTCTATCTGTATATCTGTCTGCGTCTGTCTGTCTGTTTGTCTGTCTCCTCCCTCCTAAGCTCTGTTTCTCTCTTACTCCCACCCTCCTTCCCTCCTACATCCCTTCCTCAGTCACCCACCCTCCTACCAAACCCGCCTCCTGTTTACTCTCACATCCTATTCTTTCACTTCTCCCTCCTCTCCCTTTCTCCCATATTCTCCCCACATTAGTCATAAACCCAAAGTGCCTCTGTAAAAGACCGGCTTTTCGAATGTCTTCACGGGATGAAATATATAGGTTTAAAGGAAATGGCTGAACGGCAACATTATCAATCTTCTTCGTTGGCTAAAGTGTAGTGCAATTCAATTTATATCTCGGCGTGGGAAGATCTCGTAGTGTTTGTGTTGTTATGGCAACGGTGGGGAAATAACGAAATAGTCTGCCGTGATCTAGATAGATGATTATTTTTCATTTGATTTCGAGAAGATAGAACTAATGAGAGAGGATGAATATATTTCTGTACAAATGCCGGTGAATGAGGCTTTTATGCGGATCTATAGATATCTGGACGCACTTTGTATTTTTCTTCTAATACAACCAGGATGTTGATACATCCGGGAGTTTGTGCTGTTTTAGGGAGAGAGGGAAATTCTGTGGTGTGTTTTGCTGAGAGAAAAAGATATGTTTGTGATGCTGAGAGATAGAAATCCTGTTAAATGATGTTCTGAGAGAGAGAAATCTTGTTATATGTTCTGCTGAGAGAGATAAATCTTGTATGTTTTACTGGGAGAGTAAAAAATCTGTTAAATATTCCGTTGAGAGAAAGAATTTCTATATACTCTGTTGAAAGTCTGTATATTCTGTTATATATTCTAATGAGAGAGATATTTTATTCAATATATTTCGCAGGGAGAAAAAAAAAACTGTTGCAATCTGTTGAGAGAAAAAATATGGATATTCTGTTGAAAATGAGAAAATCTGTTTTACATTCTGACAAACAGAGATTATGTTATGTATTCTTTGAAAAAGTAAATTCTACACTTATCCCACATGTTGTCGGGAAGTGTGCATAAGCAAAATATCAAGAACAGGAAATTGAAAAAATATGGCTAGTGTAAATCATTCATTTTGTCTGTCTATTTCCCTACGTGTTAAATGTATTAGATCTGGCTCTGATTCCACTCCCCCCCCCCTCTCTCTCTCTTTCTTCAGCTCATTTCTCTCTTATTGTCATCATCCTTCCCCCGCTCGTTTCTTTATCTTTCTTTCTCCCTATATCTGTCTTTCCTCTCTTACTCTCTCTCCCCTTCCCTCCCCCAGCTCTCTCCTTTCTCTTTTCCTCTCTTTCTCCCTCTCTCTCATTCCTCACACACATTATCTCTCTCTTTATCTTTCTCCCTCTCGGTCCTCCCTCTACCTCCCTCCCCGTCCCCCCATCCCTCCCCTCTCGTCTCCCACCAGTAGGCCCTTCCCCCCTCCACGCCCCCTTCCCTCCCGTCCCCTCTCTCCCTCCACCCCACCCTCCTCTCACACCTTTCTTCCCCCCTTCACCCCTTCCCCTCCCTATCCCCCCTCCCCCTCTTCCCTCCCCGCAATCGGCAATCGTGGATTCCGATCCCCTCCATCTATCACTCCCCGAAAGCTAAGTGGAAAGAGTCGCTTCGACCCATAAGGGAATCGGATGCCGTTTATCAGGGTAAGAATCGCCTAAACCACTTTCATTTTTTTTTCTTATCATGTTACTTTGCTTTTTTGTGTAAATGAATTCTGATTATCTTCCATTAGGGGAGAGTTTTATGTGTGTGCTTTATACTATGCACATGTACACATGCATACTTATATAGTGCAAGATATACTCTTGTACATGATATATGTATACATATATATATAAATAAATAAAAACAATATATATATATATATAGATAGATAGATAGATAGATAGATAGACAGATAAATAGATAGATAGACAGATGGATAAATAAATAGATAGAGATAGACAAACAGATAGATAGATGAATAGATACATAGATAGATATAGATGTGTTTTTATTATTATTATCATTATTTGTCTGTGTGTATGTAATCCTCACTCCTACATGTATATGTATATATATATATATATATATATATATATATATATATATATATACACATACACACACACACACACAACACACACACACACACACACACACATATATGCACACACATACACACACACACACACACACACACACACACACACATATATATATATATATATATACATATATATGTATATATATTTATATATATACATACATATGTATGCATACACATACATATATATATATATATATATATATATATATATATATATATATATATATATATGTATATATATACACATATATATGTATGTATATATATATGTATATATACACACATATATATGTATATATCTATCTATCTATCTATATATATATGCATCATCATCACCAAGGGGCTAACGCCGATG